TAACCCTAGAATTACCAGTTGAAGTGTGGACCACATCATAATACTACTAGTCTACTCGTTCCTCTTAACCCTAGAATTACCAGTTCAAGTATGGACCCCATCATAATACTACTAGTCTACTCGTTCCTCTTAACCCTAGAATTACCAGTTCAAGTATGGACCCCATCATAATACTACTAGTCTACTCGTTCCTCTTTACCCTAGAATTACCAGTTCAAGTGTGGACCACATCATAATACTACTAGTCTACTCGTTCCTCTTAACCCTAGAATTACTAGTTCAAGTATGGACCCCATCATAATACTACTAGTCTACTCGTTCCTCTTAACCCTAGAATTACCAATTAGAGTGTGAACATCATCGGTTTTTGAAGCATATATTATTTTATTATATATTAAAGAAGTATCTGAGCAATAAAACATGGCAGATTTGAATTATCTTTGGAGTGCTTATTTAGTATTTCCTTTTACACATTGCTTCGAATTTTCCAAGACAGATTTCGATATACAAAAATAATACAAGACTAGATTGTTGGGAAAATCGTTGACTTGTAAAACTACTAAAATCAAAATGTTGAAACAATTGTTCAGATATTTTTGTAATGGGCAATCTTTTAGACTTTTCATTGCAACACAAACGAAAAAGTAACATTATTAAAACATGTACTGAAATAACAAGTCTCCACTGATAAAAATCAAGCTGTACTGCGCGTGTTTTTTTTCCACGTCCCTCTTAATTTTCTTTTTTCACGTCCCTCCCACAACAGACTTCAAATCAGAAGCGTGAAATTGCAGGGCGTGTCTTAGTGCTCAACTGTAAATCCAAAGTTTCATGGATTGCTTACTATTCCCGCAAAGTCGTGTTCTGTACTTCACTAGATTATAATAGTAACGGCCAAGTCCCATTATGCGGTTACAGTGGTGAAAAACATTTATTGCATCACCCAATTTTTTCAGAGTTTTCTTCAGAATCGTCTATCTATTTTCGGGCCCTAATTCATGTAGCTGCAAATGTGTTTAATAGATGATGTAAAATACTATCTAATTATTACATCAGCCGTCTTATAGGCTATCTTGGTATTGCATCAGTTTTTTTTTTGTTTTGCTATAAATAGGGGTTCTTAGTGAGAGTCAGTTCAGAAGCCTATCTGCTACAATGACCAAGGGTTGCAAGATAACTCCACGGGAAATAGCAGTCATTGTTTCTTTGAACTAAGAGGGACTTTCGACAAGGCAGATTGCTAGAAGATTTAAATTTAAACAGTCTACTTTGAGCTATTGGTTGCAGAGATATAGAGACTGGCTGTGTGGAGAAACAGAAGGGAGGTGGGAGGAAGAAAACTGATGATCGTGTTCTGAATGCCTGTAAAATCATCACTTGTCGTCCACAGATCTCGAAAGGAAACTTCAGGGGTCACTGTCACCACCTGCGCCATCTGGTGTCGCTTGTGTTCAGCTGTTCTCCCAGCAAGACGGCCGTGACGGTCTAATATATATATTTTTTATCCCGAACATTAGGCCTATTTTCGATGACAAGGAACCCACTTTGAAACTATTAATGGTTGGAGACAACTTGAATGGGTAATGAAGAAAAACTTGAATATAAGTTTAACATAACAGCAAATGTACAACGTTTCGACAAGGTTTTGCCATCATCAGGTACAGCAAACGTACAACGTTTCGACAAGGTTTTGTCATCGTCACCTGATTTCTTCATTACCCATTCAAGCCGTCTCCAACCATTAATAGTTATTATTGTAATTTGGAATTTTATAATATATATTTTCTAGTGATCTTGTATCATACATATGATTTATACTATAATACGAATATATAATTGGCACATATTTAGAACGTGCATTTACATCAAATAACTGATTTCTTATAAGTTTGTTTGTTTGTAGTTATGCATAAAGCTACACAATGGGCTATCTGTACTCTGCCCACCACTGCTGTGCTACCTGGGGCGATTTCTTATAATTTCATCTGTTAATGTAACATTTGTATAATGTTCGATTTTTTTGTTTAAGATTATCATCTTAAATATTCTCTTTTTTAATTATATATATATATAAGTGAATGTTACTTGTTGAACCATATATTGTCAATTCATAATGTATAACAAATTCTGCTAAAGATATATAAATTATTTACTATATATTAATTGGTAAACTATTCTGTATCCTACATAGGTAATAGGTCTTAATTTATTGCAAAGCATACTTATATGTTTTGACCAACTAAAAACATCATCTATAATTAGTCCTAAGTATGTCTTAGTATTAACATTTTCTATATATATACTGTATATATATATATATACACTTACGATCAGA